TCATCAATCTGTGGCAATTCACCCCAAATTTCGATCGTCAAATTATGCATTTGCACAAATGACTACATACATATTTTGTTCGAGAATAATTAAACACAGGGCATTATATTCGTGCAGCTAATTAATATAACGATGTAAAAAAAAAAACTAAAGTCCAAGAGGCAGACATGCAGCAGTCAAATTAGGCTTTGAAATTAAACCATGCAGCTAGCAATTGCTATAGCTCGCAAAACTGAAAACAACAAAGAGAGAAAATTGAACACAACTTCGTTAGAGTAACGCAAAGACTTTCTTATAAGAGGAATTCTCCGTTTTGCCATATATATAATAGATCCTTAATTCGTCTTCTGGGGCTGATCACAACGACACTGCCAGATTCTTCAAACAACTGAGCAACGACAGAAATAGATCTTAGTATAGCCATCGAACCTTGACCAGGTTTTTGGATTTTCATCTGAATATATATATAGAGTGGTTCATACATATTGGGAAACTTGCAGTGACTAATTAGCAAATAGTTAATTATTCCGATTAATTAAGCATTGTTGATGTTACGGTAATTAACTGGAGTATGTATAATGTATAGTATATATATCCTTATCTTGATGAATAATTAAGCATTGTTGTCAGATATTTCTTCATGCAGCATGCATACATGCACAATAAATCAATTGGAGGATCCTCCCAATTAACTTGCATGCATGACTTTTGACATATTTTCGACTAATCATTTTATTTAAGATAATATGTAATGATTATTATTTATTTTGTTGTGATATGTTTCAGCATTAAATATATATTGAGTACCTTTTATATTTATATAAAATTTTTAAACAAGATAAATAGTCAAACATTTATCTAAAAAGCGTATACAGGCGATCGTACATGCATGACTGAAGCACGCTAGCTCATCCGATACAGATAGATATATGTATCTCTACCATCTAGATCACATCAACCTATTATTGATAATCATCCGTCCCCAAATAACTATCATTCTAGAGGTCAAGGGGTAAATTAAGAAAAAGATAAAATGACCTATATATATGTCCCTTATTAATTAAATGATAGGAGAATAGTTGGGGGTATGGAGACAAATTTAAATGAGATGAGATTTAAGTGAACAACTAGTACTTAGGATTACACTATTTGAAGGTAAATTTGTATTAGGAAATCCTTATTATTTTGGGACGGAGGCACGGAGGTAGTAATTTTCTCCCTTGATCGAGTACTATATATGTATATATCCACCCATATCCTGCCACGTTATATTAACGGGAAGGAATTTTTAAGTTTGAGAAAATGATATAACAACACTGTTAACTTAGGGCAGGCCGGTGCGACTTTAATTAATTGCCTTGCCAGTATATTTTTTTATCAGAATTAACTCACAAACGTCCACATCGTGTAATTAAGATTAATTTGGTAAAGGAGAAGATATACAATCACCACCTCACATACTCCAAATGAACCAGATTATCTGGAATAAAAGTATATGTTATTATCCTGTTCTGCTCAACTTCTAAGCGTACTTACTCCATCCAAAAATAAAACATAATATTTTAGATTTAATAAAACATAATATGGTATGGATATAGAGATATAAGATATTCATTGTACTATGTTATATCCAATCCTATTTTAGATTTAATTATTTTAAATGAAAGGGAGTGGATCGATCGCATATATATCGATCCATCGTACTCCTGTTATGTCCTTTATGTACGTTTTTTTTAATTTCCTTGTCTCATCTTTCATCGAGCCACACTCATAGATGAAGGCCACACACAGACGGTGCAATGTACTATAATATGTCATATCTAGTTATAGATTTATTTGTTTGGGACGAAGGAAGTACATGGACAATTAGCGAGTGATGAGTACAACTTGTAGAGACCGGATCGATGTGTCCAAATTATACCACATTAGCTAAATAACGAATATTGAATATAATATGCAGCTCTTTTTTCTTCCGTTTATATATATACAATTGTACTTTGTAAAAGATTATCAATTTACAACATTAGAATTTGGTCATGCCCTATCATCTAGCTGCATAGATTTTATTTTTTTTCCACTTCAATAATGTGGTAATTTGGTCTAGTGGCGGACCCAGAAAAATTACACTGGGGTGTGCCCATTCTAGTTATCACTCCACCGTATATTTTTTTAAAAAGAAAACACCCAATTCCGATGGAAGAATTTTTGCAGATTTTGGTCGGATTTTTCAAAATTCTATTGTAATGTGGTCCATAATTCATGTATATTGGGAAACTTGCAGTGACTATATGTACTCTCAGATATATTAATCGAAGTCATCGTTTGATGTTAAGGTAATTAACTGGACTATGTATAATGTACTAGCTGAATGCCCTTGCATTGCAACGGGTTATTCAAAATAGGAAAAACATAAAAAAAAATCTTGTTGAAAGAAATAGCTTCTACTTGGTTGAAACAAGATTCTTCATCTTAAAAAAACAAAAATAAAAATACAATAATTAAGACTATATTTCTCAATGTGAGATATAAACCAATGTGATTTTCAGTACTTAAATATAGATTGATGGCTACATCTGTGTTAACGAAATGTCTATTTCATATGGTAATGTAATATGTACTTATTAATAAATTGTGTTGTATAACTCATTTAAAATTACAATAGAAGCCATAAGATGAGAAGAAGCAAAGCAATAGAAATTTAGAGAGAAATTAAATTAAACAACATTGCCAGAGTAACGCAAAGATCAACTTTCTTATAAGAGAAACTCTCCGTTTTGCCATATATATAATAGATCCTTAATTTGTCTTGTGGGATTGACAACGATATTGCCAGATTCTTCAAACAATTGGAGCAACGACAGATCAGAGATAGATAATAGTATCTCGCCATCGAAGCTTGACCGGTTTTTGGACTTCCATCTAAATATATGGACTAGTTCATGCATATTGGGGAAACATATCCCTATCCAGATTCATTGTATAAGTTATGTTTTATTTTATTCTATATTTGAAATATTTTGAAATGAAGGGAGTACATGATACATCGCATACCGATCCATTGTACTCTTGTCGTGTCCTTCACCTGTGTTTCCTTTCCTTATCTCATCTTCCACCTTTATCGTCATCATTGTTCTCCTCGAGCCACTCTTATGGTTGAAGGCCACACAACCGATGCAATGTACTCTTTTGTGTCGATCTTTCATTGGAGTACTATGGTTACATTACATACATGTGCGTGTTAACGGTTACTGTTTCTAGGTTTGTCGACCTCTTATATGTGTCTTGGTCATCTCTAAGCCACTTTTTAGGGAGGAAGGTCAACTGTGTTTCACTTTTATCGTACGTACGTGGACAATTAGTGAGTGATGAGTACAATTGGATGTGTCCAAATTATCACACTAGTTAGTTAAATATCTCTAGGATTGAATGTAATATACAACTCTTTTCTTCCGTTTGTGTATATACAATTGTACTTTGTATGTAATTAATTATCGCTATCAATTTACACCATTACAATTTGGTCATACTGTGATCTATCTATATAGAATTCATTTTGTTTTCTCTTTAGAGCAATTTTACTGTCCTTGAGGAGGTACCATGAGGTACCAAAAATTTAGTGTAAAATTTGGTACCTCATAGTACCTAGGTACTATGAGGTACCAAATTTTACACTAAATTTTTGGTACCTCATGGTACCTCCTCAAGGACCGTAGAATTGCTCTTCTCTTTAACTAATGTCGTAATTTGGTCTCTAGAGTGAACGTTCTTTTTTTGACCTATCTTTACATTATATAATAATATAATAACATATAGGTAGATAGATATATATGTAGGTAGATAGATAGAAACGATCTAATTGTTTTTTTAATTTAATTTGGAAAACACATCTTTCACCAATATGTAGATCATTTTTTTGTCTAGCAAAGTTTTTCCCTATAGGTTTCTAAAACATAATTATCGAACCAAACAATGATTTCGCTTTTTGTTCATGTATTGTTGTATCTAAAGTATCACGAGGCATGGAGTCTACGTTGAGATGTTTATTCGTCTTTTCTTGTAATATAATCTACATTGTTCTGAAATATGATTTTGATTCTTCTGAAATTCTAGAAGAAGTGCATTCGTGGGTATCATAATTTAAACATTACCGCAATGCTTACTGCAATAAATACTAAATTGGTTTATGATTTTACCCAAACAAGGAACCATATCTAGTAGTGGGGAGGTTGAAGAAAAAAAAGCGGAAGAAGACAAAAACATCGACCATAAGCCATAAATGTATATGATTTGTATATAAATGTCTTTCTATTTTTCAAAATGAAGCTCCACGTAAAATTGCGCGAAAACATCTGTTAGACAAACATAAAACCCATTTTTTCATACTCACGTGTTATCCCTATTTTAAAAAGTTTTAAAAAAGGTTTTAAGGGAAGGGTAATATATGTCAATTTGTGATTATACTGTTTTTCTGAACGGTTAGACTGTTGCCGATGTTTTATACAAAGAAAAAAAGTGTCCCACTAATTAGAAAACGTAACCAAACCCTAGTGTCTAATTAATTAGAAAAACTGAGCGAAAACCACAACTACAACACCGTCAACGCGGTATTATCTCCCTGGATTATAGTGTTAAAACCTTGAACTCATTTTTGGTCAATGTAGGTGGACAGAGATCCGCGATGCTGTATCTGCGGTTTTATCTCCCTGGATTCTGCCCAAAAAGAAAAATTAAAGGTAAAAGATTATTATTAGTGCTAATAAGTTGGAGACGTGTGCGTCGTGCTAGCTAGAGATTAGACACGTGGACGGTGATGAGGCGATCGAGCAGTTGCAAAAACACGCGTGTACACCAACTAGTAGTAGTAGTTAACCATAATCCATATCCTCCTCCCTTATTAATCCCCTCCCCCAAAATCATCAATGCAAATTAATCTCCCCTCTTCTTCTTCTTCTACCTCCTTTTGGGATTAATCACTGGTAATTATAGATTTATAGGTGATTAATCACTCGGCATTGCCATTAGCGGTGGCGGTGATGCTTGTCTTCGTCATCGTCCACATCTCGTTGATGCGTGCTGCCGACTGCCGAGTGTCACCGAATCCTTAATAAATACTCCTCCTCGCCACCTTCGTCTCCTCCTATCCCCGATTCGCACAGCCAATCTCTTCTTGCTTCCTCCTCCTCCTCCTCCAGCCGCCGCCGCCGACGACGATTCTTGGTAGAGAGATTCTTGCGTTGTTTTACCTGCGTCTTGTTCTTCTTGGGAGTTGGGTGGATCGATTGATCGAGGTTTTGGAGGTTGGAAGAAGTGTGTGTTGTGGTGGGGGGTAAGTGAGATGGAGAACTGAATTCACTGAACTCATTTTCTTTCCTTTTTTTTTTGGTCTGACAAGAAGTAAAAATTCCTGAACCTGAAACCAACCAAAGGACAGGTTGGTCGACACGCCAAGATTGCTTTTGCTGCTGTGTCCTTCTCACTCTTGTTCTTGTTCTTGCTTCTTCAGGTTTGTAGAGAGAGAGAGGGCAAAGGCACGCAAAGAGGGAGAGAGTGAGGAGAGATGGCGGCGGAGGGAGGGAGGTGTCAGAAGAGCTACTTCGACGTGCTGGGGATTTGCTGCCCGTCGGAGGTTCCCCTCGTCGAGAAGCTTCTGCAGCCGCTGGAGGGCGTCCAGAAGGTCACCGTGATCGTTCCCTCCAGGACGGTCATCGTCGTCCACGACGTCGACGCCATCTCCCAATCCCAAATCGGTGAGAGCCCCCCTTTTTTCTTTTTTGCTTTCCGAGTGGATTGATTCATCTCCCTTTCGTGATTAAGATCGATCTCTCCTTCCATCTTGACTTGTCACTTATCATTGTCCTGTGATCAATGAATGATACCAATCATGCAACCGGTGACTGAGCCATCTTGTGGGATTTGTGGAGTTTTTGGGTGGGTCAAGAAGTCACACGAGACTAGACCAGACCAGAGTCTCAGTAATTTGAAGAAAACGATCTTTTTTATTTTCTTTGTCATGGCTGCTTGTTTGTTCATTGGATTTTCGATGATTTTATTTCTGTTCTTGCTAGTTTAATCAGAATCTTACTTTAATTATCGCAAGAAAAATTGGATCTTAACATATATATAGCGTGTTGAGCGATGGAAAGCATCACGCAAAGTTGCTTGCGTTTCTCATTCTGTTCTTGCTGTTCATGAGTTGTTCCAGTATCTGTATTTTTTTTTTGTTTGTTTGTTTGTTTGTTCACAATAAATTTCATTTCTAATCGTTGCTTGATTCAATAACTAGCCAGCCAAGCAAAGGTGGTGTCATGTGTTCGTTTGTTTTCATGGCTCGAGGCTGGGGACCACTTACCATGTCAGAAAATAAGTGCAAAATTTCATACTCCAACTCTACTAAAATGGGATGTTTGCTAGCGACAAGTGAACCGTCTTGGCAGTGGTCGCTATTGTTCATGACGCAGGGAGCAATTACTGATACGATTGGACATATCTCTTGACTCGTTAATTCTGACCTCAGCACCCCCGAAATCCTGCTAATTTTGCAGTTTCTGTCACGAGAATTAAGGAACTTGATTACTGTACAATACTGTCACACTCAATGAAACCGCCAGTTTTTCATCTTTGGTTCTTGAAACAGTCATTACATAATTTTAGATAAATGTTACTGTCCTTGAGGAGGTATACCAATTATGACAGATGGACAGTAAAATCAATCACGATTTTAGCATGACAAAACTCTTGAAAGCTTGATTTGATTTTGATATTTGCTGTTTTCAGTCAAGGCGCTGAATCAGGCAAGGTTGGAGGCGTCGGTTCGGGCTTATGGGAACGGCAGTGAGAAGATCACCAACAAATGGCCGAGCCCGTATGTTCTCCTCTGCGGACTTCTTCTGGTCGTGTCGCTGTTCGAGCATTTCTGGCACCCGCTCAAGTGGTTCGCGCTGGTGGCTGCGGCCGCCGGCTTGCCGCCGATCGTGCTGAGGAGCATTGCGGCCATCCGGAGACTCACCCTGGATGTCAACATACTCATGCTGATTGCTGGTAAGAACAGCCTATAATTCACCTGTGACATTAATGATGTTTCCTGTTATTGGTACCTTGAAAAAAAAAGAAGCTCCCTTTTGTTGGAGGATGGCCCTGACCATCACCTCCGACGATCGAAGACCCTTTGATCTTTAGGAGATAACTGAATTATAAAATTTTAAATAGGCTTCCTTCATCTGGTGGCCTAATGCATGCATTTTGGCTTGTACCAAAACCTACTTTCTCTCTTTAATGAAATGAAAAGCAGAGGTCCCACCATACTTTTTGAAAAGAAATGAACGTTTAAATAGTATCGAATGGTAGCAAACACATCTGCCATTAAGGATATCCTCCAATTGAATAGTCTCATTTGAAATAAGAAAACAAATTATTGACACAGCTTAGTAGTAGAGCATTGAGTTTTAACGTTGATGCCATGGGTTTGAAGCTTTTTTTTCTGTATTAAAAGGGCAACAGTATACTTGTTCCTTTTTTTACCATAGTATTCTCTTGTGTGTAGAAGACACAAATACAACACCACTTTGGGTAAATATTCAACTACGGATTGAAGTTGTGGGTATTATTGATACCTGTTCTACCAGTGTGACAATGGGTTGTGAAAAAAAAAGAGACAAAAGCAAGTTTCTTCACGAGGACCAATATGGTGGGTGATTAGTGGGAGAGCAGAAGCAGAAATCCATCTCTCAAAAGTTTATGTCTCACTTGCATAAACTTTTGCTTTCTTTTCTTTTCTAGAGGGTCCCTCACTTTCCATCACATCAAAAGGATATGTTGCTGTGATGCTAATATACGTGCTAGATGAACAATTCTGCTTCTTTTCCTCCATGTGGCGATGTCACCTCAGATAGGGCATCAGATTCCTTTTAGAACAAGCAACATATTTCTTATCAAGAAGCTACACATATTTCGAATAATTCTTTCTAGACTAATATCGTGGCATTGAGATAGCTCTATTGTGATATGCATATGGGAATATGGGATACATGAAAGAATCATCAAAAGAAACAAGAAATACCTTGTTTCAAAAAGAAAAAAAGATTTGGAAGATTTGGTAAAAAAAAAAGGAAAGTGCAAATTTTCTTTGTCGTATGTTGACAACATTTCTGGTTTTCTTAGTTAGGTGAATATATCAAATGATTTCTGTATATAATGTTTTATTTGACACGGAAGTGAAGTGAAAAAGTGGGGTTTTATTGGTACTACTAAGAAGAAGGCAAATTGTATATGTGAATATCTTATATTTTAACAAATATTATCATGAACCATGATTTCTATATCCTTTTTTCGCCGGGTGATTTCTATATCCTTTTTGGCACTATCTTCTTATCTTGGATGACCCATGCTATCTTGCCAGCACCTATGGGTAGATTACTTTCTACATGCCATTAAATCCAGGCAATTTTGGTAGGAGATGGATGACAACACAAAACCCAGAGTTTTGTATGTCTGTACTTACTTTTTTTGTTTGGTGCAGTTGCTGGAGCAATAGCTCTCAAGGACTATTCTGAGGCTGGGTTCATCGTCTTCCTCTTCACTACAGCTGAATGGCTTGAGACTAGGGCCAGCCACAAGGTCTATTTCCATCTCTTTTAGCTATTTTATTTTGCCTCACTATTCATGTTTGATTGCTGAGGTCATGATCAGGCCACTAACCGAGAAGGATCTATTGTTTATGACGTGTCACATTTATGGGCACAAATTCATGCTAATGCAGCATACTGGGCCTATAGATTTGGATGTGCACTAGCCCCACTGATTGGTGGACTGATGAACTGGTTGGACCAGAATCAGGCCCATGTTACTCATATATCATCAGTTATCAGTTTATCATCATTTTAGCATATACCCCCACCCCAAAATTGTCAAGGGAAAGACAAATAAACTTTTGTATCTAGTGGACTCAAACATGCATCTACACTCATAATGCGTATATAAAGCATGATCTAGGAAAGCAAGGTGAATCTACTAAAACAATAGTCTTCAAAAGGCAATAATAGTCAGCACACATGTGTATATTGGTATTAGTTATATTTGTTCTCTTTACTTAATCTCTGTAATTAAATGTTCCTTTGGCATGTAGGCCACCGCTGGGATGTCAGCTCTAATGAGCATGGCACCACAAAAGGCTATTCTGGCAGAGACCGGGGAGGTGGTTGCAGCCCGGGATGTGAAGGTCAATACAGTAATTGCTGTCAAGGCAGGGGAAGTCATTCCAATCGACGGTGTTGTTGTTGATGGACGTAGTGAGGTCGACGAGAGCACCCTCACGGGGGAGTCCTTCCCAGTGTCCAAGCAGCCAGACTCCCAGGTCTGGGCTGGCACACTCAACATTGACGGTAATATATGATGAACTGTCAGTTGATTTGATGTCCCTGATATGCCTAAAATTTCAAGGTGTGCTATTGATTCTGTATCAATTCTGTACTGGTGATGTATCAGGTTACATTGCTGTGAGGACGACTGCTATGGCTGACAACTCCGCGGTGGCCAAAATGGCAAGGTTGGTTGAAGAAGCACAAAACAGCAGATCCAGTACACAGAGGCTGATCGACACGTGTGCTAAGTATTACACACCTGGTAAGCTAAATAAAAGAGACTAGGCTTTTAGTAAAAATTTAGACACCAAAAACTTGGATCAGGTGGGTTTCTTACTGTTTACGTTGTTTGCACCTGCAGCGGTCGTTGTCATGGCAGGATCAGTAGCAGCAATTCCTGCAATAGCGAAAGCACATAACCTTAAGCACTGGTTCCAATTGGCTCTAGTTCTTCTAGTGAGTGCTTGTCCATGTGCACTGGTACTGTCCACACCCATTGCCACCTTCTGCGCGCTACTAAGGGCCGCAAGGACAGGGCTGCTCATCAAAGGAGGAGATGTCCTGGAATCCTTGGCTAGCATCAAAGTTGCAGCTTTTGACAAAACTGGTACAATTACTAGAGGAGAGTTCAGTGTTGAGGAGTTCCAGCCAGTTGGTGAACGTGTTTCATTGCAACAACTTCTTTACTGGTGAGACTCGTCGAAACTTTCACTTAAAATTTCTTCTTGTGTATTGCATTTAATTATATGGATATCACAGGGTCTCGAGCGTTGAGAGCAGATCAAGTCACCCCATGGCATCTGTCCTGGTTGATTATGCTCAATCAAAGTCTGTGGAACCAAAATCAGAGAATGTTAGTGAATTCCAAATATATCCTGGTGAGGGGATTTATGGTGAAATCGACGGAGCAGGCATATATATTGGGAACAAAAGAATTTTGTCAAGAGCTTCATGCGAAACAGGTTGGTGAAATTAAAAGGCTTCCTAAATGTGGTAGAACACTGTTGATAGTTTACGGTTAGTCACTGTTGAATTTGTTGTTAAATAAGAAAAATATCACTCCAACAGTAAATAAAATTGTTCTGCCTCAGGAATATTAAGTAGAACTAGTAATTGTGAATAGAGGTTTTGCTTCACTTTCTTTTGACCAAAACATGATCTTTGAGATATCCTGTTGAACAGTCTTGCGTTTTTGTAACTCTCATGTTTATCTTTTTAATTTTTTTTTTTTGTAGTTCCGGACATGAAAGATATGAAAGGAGTTACCATTGGATATGTGGCATGTAACAATGAATTGATTGGAGTATTCACTCTATCGGATGCCTGCCGAACTGGATCAGCTGAGGCCATCAAGGAACTGAGATCACTGGGCATTAAGTCAGTGATGCTTACAGGTGATAGTAGCGCTGCTGCCACATATGCACAGAATCAGGTAAAATAATTTTCAGTGTGAGTGGCTGTTTTTACTGTTGTTCGGTTTTGCATATTACAGCATCTAATTTTGCTCTTGTTTTTCTTTTCTGGCAGCTGGGAAATATCCTTGCTGAGGTTCATGCTGAACTTCTTCCAGAGGACAAAGTGAGAATTGTTGGTGAACTCAAGGAAAAAGATGGCCCTACGCTGATGGTTGGTGATGGCATGAATGATGCCCCGGCATTGGCTAAAGCTGATGTTGGAGTCTCTATGGGTGTATCTGGTTCAGCTGTTGCAATGGAGACAAGCCACGTTGCTCTGATGTCAAATGACATCCGCAGGATTCCAAAGGCTGTCCGGCTGGCAAGGAGGACGCATCGGACAATCATCGTGAACATCATATTCTCGGTGATTACGAAGCTTGCAATCGTTGGGCTTGCATTTGCCGGACATCCACTTATCTGGGCAGCCGTCCTTGCAGATGTTGGCACATGCTTGCTGGTGATCATGTACAGCATGCTGTTGCTGAGAGAGAAGGACAGTCGAAAGGCGAAGAAATGTGCTGCTTCTCATCACGGATCTCCAAAGAAGTGCTGTTCTTCTTCTCATCATGGATCTCATGCAAAGAAAAATCATGGCGTTTCCCACCATTGTTCGGATGGTCCGTGCAAATCAATGGTCAGTTGCAAAGAATCATCAGTTGCAAAGAATGCTTGTCATGATCACCACCATGAGCATAACCATCACGAAGAGCCAGCCCACAAGCATTCTTCGAACCAGCATGGTTGCCATGATCACAGCCATGGCCATAGCAACTGCAAAGAGCCAAGCAACCAGCTGATTACAAACAAGCATGCTTGCCATGATGGTCATAACCACTGCGCAGATACGAGCAATCTGCACGACACCAAGAAGCATGACTGCCATGGCCATGAGCATAGCACCTGCAAAGAAGAACTCAACGCTTTGCCTCCCACCAATGACCATGCTTGCCATGGCCATGAACATAGCCACTGTGAAGAACCCGTTGCTCTGCACTCTACCGGCGAACATGCTTGCCATGAGCATGAGCATGAGCATATCCACTGTGACGAGCCAATCGGCTCGCATTGCGCTGATAAGCATGCTTGCCATGACCATGAACAGGTTCATGAGCATCATTGCTGTGATGAACAGCAAACTCCGCACACCGCAGATTTGCACCCCTGCCATGACCATGACCATGACAACCTGGAGGTCGAGGAAGTAAAGGACTGCCATGCTGAACCACCTCACCACCACAACCATTGCTGCCATGAACCTCATGATCAGGTCAAGAATGATACTCATCCAGTCCAGGAGCACTCGATCTCGATCGAAGAATCATCAGACCACCATGAGCATCACCACAACGAAGAACACAAAGCCGAAGATTGCGGACATCATCCGAAGCCGAAAGATTGTGCTCCACCTCCAACTGACTGCATCAGCAGAAACTGTTGCAGCAATACCAGCAAAGGTAAAGACATTTGCTCGAGCTTGCACAGGGATCATCATACCAGCCAGGCCAGCCGGTGCTGCAGGAGCTATGTGAAATGCTCCAGGCCCAGCAGGAGTTGCTGCAGCCACAGCATAGTGAAGCTGCCTGAGATCGTAGTGGAGTAGTAGGAAATTCAGCAATGTCTGCACATATCATCAGAAAATATAGCAACCTCGTCATCGGCGAAATGTAGAAAAAGCCGATGCTGCTATGCGTTTGATCTTTTTTTTTTTAGTCGTGCTGCTTTTGCTTCAGCTAAAGAAAAAAATGTTGTTTGTAGAGGTGTCTGGTTTTGAGACGAAGCAGGTGTTTGAATCATGAAATGTATAAGCCTGCTTTGTGGTTTTCTTTCCCGGTTGTGATCGAGGCATCATCTCCTGTAAGAATCTGAGAAGGTGCATGAAATCTGCCATTTCTGGGAGCGGGAGGACTAGCTGGTGCTGGGATTAACTTGCTTCCAAAAACTCTTTAGATTTTGAAACATTTGACCAACAATTAGTCAAATATAAATTAAATTCTATTCGATGAAAACAATGTTATTTGATTGCCTCTTGAATTTGCTCTCCTATGACTATATGATTTTGTTACTACAAACCTTGTACCGTGTAAAATTAATAGTTAAACATTAGTTTTGAAAACCGTGCAAAGATTCAGGGTTTTTTAGTTTCACAAATATGAGGAATTGCTGGTTTTATTTAAGAAAAGTTTAAGGTTAATTTGAGATTACTACTTGAGTTTACTCGATCTAGAAATATCACAAGATCACATCTAGTGAAACAACTATCGACAAGTAGTATTCTAAAATTCTTTATATTTGTAGACAGATACTCTAATGGAAATGGTTGAGTTTTTTTCAGCGGAATCGAATCAACGAAGCAATATAATGGTTCGTTCCCTACAAACTATTCTATATAAAAGTTCTTCAAAAAATCAAATAAACTCATTTTTTTAAATTTATATTAGTTAGTATATAATTAATCGTGCATTAATAAGCTTTCTTGTTTTGTGTGGGACTGAAAACCTTATCCTACTTGGCCAAAGGAATGCACCCTAGTCCAACATCTATGCTAGCGTTGGTCTGCATTTTTGATAATGGAAACCAATCTAGCATATATATATCTAAATGTGGGGGTAGGGGGGGGGAGTGGGGGTATGGGTGTGTTTCACGCTAAAATTGGAAGTTGGGTTGAAATTGGAACGATGTGACGAAAAAGTTAAAAGTTTGTGTGTAGAAAAGTTTTGATGTGATGAAAAAATTGGAAGTTTTGATGTGATGGAAAAGTTAGAAGTTTAAAGAAAAGGTTTGGAACTAAACTCGGCCTATGTTTTGGAAGAAATGGTGATCTTTGATGGATCCGATCATCGGATTAGAGGAGGAAGATAGATCCAGCCACCATAATAGAGAAAGAAAGTGGATCCAGTCATTGGAGCAAAGGAAGAAGGTGGATAGTAACATTGTTGCACTTCTGGTGTATTTGAGTGTTTCATCCTCTTTTGACTTTTTGATTAGATATTGCATACGACGAGCGATGTATTTTATTTGATACATATAAATGTTTTGATGTTGCAAGTAGCTGTTTTTTTTTTCCAATGTTGCATCTATTTGAAGCATTGTCCACTAAGTGATGAAACATTTTTCATTGAGTAATGATACATTTATAATAATTTTACTAAAACATTATTTCATCGAGTGATGAAACATTCGTAAATATCTTTTATATACGGTGTAACATCATTTAAAGATTTGCCATGACGTGTTTGATCTCTATTCAAATTTTGAACTCTAGACAAGTGAAGGGAGAGTATTTAATACTCTATTATAAAATATAAATATTTTTAGCATAGTGACGACTGACGAGTCAAACATTTTTAAGTTTAACTATTAATAGAAAAAAAAGATTAATCATGTAAAATTGATATTACTAGATTTATCATTAAATAAACTATCATGATATGTAACTCTTTGTATTTACAACATCTTAGTTTTATATATATTCTTAGTTAAATAACATCTCAGAGATCGTGTCGGAGTTTAAAAATACTTATATTTTGAGACGCCTCGGTCTCATTAAAAAACCAACACAGTAATAGACACATCATAGTACTATAAATCTGGACATACCTCTGTTCAGATTCGCTGTAATATAATATGTCACATCCGGACCTGGATTTATCTTTTTTTTTTGAGACGGAGGGATCCTCTGGCATGTGAGCATAATAAATGTGTGACCTACTCCCTCCGTCCAAAAAAAAAGACAAACCCTAGGTTTTCGTGCCAACGTTTGACTGACCGTCTTATATGAAATTTTTTTATAATTTATATTTTCATTATTATTAGATGATAAAACATGATTAATACTTCATGCGTGACTTATCTTTTTAATTTTTTTCATAATTTTTTCAAATAAGACGGACGGTCAAACGTTGGACACGGAAACCAGGGTTTGTCTTTTTTTTTTTTGGGACGGAGGGAGTACGTAGCAACCACTTAAAATCAGAACACAATAGTGCAGAGGATGTGTTTTCTTGCCAGTACTAAATCAACATAATCCTAGTATGATATAACAACAAAAAAGTACAAAACAGCTGAGACGAGCACTTCAATTTATAGGTGTCCAAACGGGCGGCACGGCCCGGCCCGGCACGGGCACGGGTCCGGCACGGCCCGTTTCGGCACGGCCCGTTAGGCACGGCTGATGAAACGGGCCGTGCCGTGCCGGCCCACGTGCCGAGCCGCCGGCCCAAGCACGGCCCGTGGATGGCCGGGCCGTGCCCGTGCCGGCACGGCACGCCTGCGGCCCACGGGCCGTTCGGGGCACGGCGGCCCGTGAAGGCAGGCCGCCAGCCTGCAGTGCACAGTGTTTTTTTTAAAAAAAAAAACAAAGGAAATGTATAAGGAAAAAAAATTAAAAATGGAAATAAAATGTTTAAAAAAAAGTAATGATTTACTAATGTTAAAAAATGAAAAAATGGTATTTAAAAAATGGAAATAAAAGTTTTTTAAAAAAGTAATGATTTGCTAATGTTAAAAAAAAGAAAAAATGGTATTTTTTTGTTGTGTTGAAAAATTTAAAAATATAGATTGTGATTCATTATTTTGAAATAATTTAAAGATAAATCCACACTTGCGAAAATATTGCAAAAGAATTTGTTAAAAATAGTAATGACCTTTATTGATGTTTATATCATTACAGGATACAATGATACATGCTGCCTCGTTAAAAACTTTGTCATGTAAAAACTCATAGGGGAAAATGAGAAAACCATGACAAAGAAAAGAGTACAGCTCAAAGGTCAGAACTACTTCTAACAAAATTCTACTGGGGTTGGTCTGGATCCAGGTAGAGTTGCTCGAACTGGGCGGCCAATTCTTGGTTGTCCGCAGTGTATTGGGCATGTTGTCGAGCAAGCTCCCAGTCTTTAACGCTTAGTAGCATTTCGACGTGGTCGCTGCGCAGAGTCGTCCTCCGGTCTTCGATGATTCGGCCGCATAGACTGAAGGCCGATTCGGAGGACACCGTCGACACGGGCACCGTCAACACATCCCGTGCTAGTTTTGAACGCACAGGATATGTTATCTTGTGGTCATTCCACCACCCGAGGACGTTGAAATCTTGTGCTTCGTGGTGGATGGCGTCGCTGTCCAAACAACCGGACAACTCTTCGGCCACAACATGCGAAGAGGCGTCTCCACTTGTAGCCGACGAACTGCCACCACCTTGGATTGAACTTGAAGACGATCCACCCCAAATCCTACCCCACTGTATCTTCTTCTTACCTGTAGTGGGGATAGGAGGGGGTCTCTGCTGGCGAACTTCCTGAAACTTTACTTCATATCTTCCAAAAACCTCATATAATTTACGTCTAACCTCAGTATAAAAAGAACTATAATCTACACCTATAGTATCTCCAACAAGTGATAAAATAGCAGACAATCCCCTTAATTTACACCTAGGATCTAAAACAAAAGCAAAAGCATACAACATAGGTATATTTTTCCAATATTTCAAATATTTTTGTTTCATGTGAAAGACAGGTTCAGTTAGAACGTCATCATTTTCGTATTCTTTAAATAAAGTAGCAATTTCAAGAAGGTTGTGCAAAATTATATTAGCAGTTGGATAATAAACTTGTGACAAAGTTAGAGTACAATCATAAAAAGTTTCTAGAAATTGGTGAAATTTTTGGACAATTGCCCAAACATGCTCGTTCAGTACTGAAGACCCGTCACTGTTTCTTGGGCCACCACGTGACTGAACAAAATCAGAAAGTAAACTACTATAAGGTAAAACAACTTTTAACATTAAATACGTTGCATTCCACCGATGCTCTGCATCGGTGGCAAACTTACGAGCTTTCACACCGGCCGCATTGCAAAACCTCTTCCATGCAGCAATCCGCGGGTTAGAAGCAGTTAACCACGCGATTGCTTGACGAACAGCATCGATGTGGTCACCTACCCTCTTCATGCCAGTCTTAACAATCAAATTAATTATATGACATGCACAACGCTGATGGAGTAGAAAAGATTGAGCATACACACAAAATAAAGGTTGCAATATTTCAATAGCCCTAGAATTAGCAGATGCATTATCTAGGGTGACAGCAAATATTTTATCAGCAAGATTAAATTCATTAATTACTTCCCTAATTCTTTCAGCTATGTTTTCTCCTGTATGTGAGACATCTATTAACCTAAGCCCTAAAACTCTCTTTTGTAATTGCCAATCATCATCAACAAAATGAACAACTACGCTAAGATAATCCTCTCTAGCTCTACTACTCCATATATCTGAAGTAACACTAACAGAGAAAGTACATGTACTAAACAGTTCCTTAAGTGCAGTTGCTTCCTTGTGATAAACATTCTCTAAATCTCTAGTTGATGTTTGTCTACTCACAGCTTTAAACCTAGGGTTATGAGATTGCTGAATGTAATGTTCAAAAGCAGGGGACTCCCCAAAGTTCAGGGGTAAATCTTGTCTGGCGATTAACCGGACAAGAGATTCCCGAGCAACCATGGGATCGTACTCCCAACTGCGTACCGTACCGTCTGGGTTTACCATAAGTTGCTGCTGCCGGAGTTGTATTCCTTGCTTCTTGGCACACGACTCCGCATGGCGCTTGAGGTGACCTGTACCACCAGAAGAACGAGCAGATAAAATTTGCCTACATATTCTACAACGGGCTTTCGATACCTCCCTTCCGTCGGGGCATGTTTCCTTTATCTCGTCGAAGTTTTGCCACACAACGGAGGTTCTCGATCTCTTCGAGCCGGTGTGTGTCGAAACACTTCCGCTCGCGGTTCCGGAAAATCCTTCCGAAGCTATCGCCGCCTGAACCGGTACCTCCTCAACGACAGCCGTATGAACCGGTACCTCCTCCACAGATGGTGGAGTTGGAGCCGATCCGGAGGTACCGTCAAACCCCGACATGTAGTTGGGGTCGAAATCACCCAAGGTGAACGACGGCGACTGGTATGGAAAGTTCGGATCCATTCTGAAAATTTAAACCGACATAAACAAATTTTCGAATATTTATTGAATTCACAAACACAATACAAATAATACACAAATTTGAATATTACTTACATCTTTCCAACCGCGAGCTCTTCAAACCTCTGCGATCAAACTGTTGAACTACGAAACTAATTTTGATTTTTGACAAAATTTGAGCAAATTTTGTCAAAATCAAAAAAAATGCACACTTGAGAACAAAGAGAGCACTTAAAACACTTGAGAGCACAAGATGAGGAGTGTGGGATGAGGAGAAATGGCTGGGGTTCATGCCCTATTTATAGGGCGAAATTTGAGATTTTTTGGAATTTTTTCGAAATTTTTATGAATTTTTTAGCCTCCCAACGGTTATTTTCAAATTTGAACGGTCAAATAGCCGTTAGTGCCACGTGGCGCCTTCCCATTCGACCGCCGCCCGCCCTGTCCACGCCTGACGGGCCACCGGCGAAACGGGCCGTGCCGTGCCGCGGGCCGTGCCGTGCCGGCCTGCTACAGTAGCCGTGCCGTGCCATGCCGGCCCGCGGGCTCGGCCAGCGGCCCAAGCACGGCACGGCTACTCGTGCCGTGCCGGCACGGCCCGTTACTGTAGCAGGCCGTGCCGGGCCGTGCCTGCTACAGGTTCGGCCGTGCCCCGGGCGGCCCGTTTGGCCCGGCCCGTTTGGCCACCTCTGCTGCAATTATTTCCCTACACATCTCAACTTGGAGACCGCGACGCCTATGCACGCGTGGCAATCAGCAGCGGTGGCTGCGACGGTCAGCAGCGGCGGCGGCGGCGGCGAGCTTCCGCTCCGGCAAGGCAGGCACTGACCGAACCGGGCTAATCCGCAAAAATCACCATCCAAACCCGCAGCTTAATTGGGACTAATAAAATGAAAAACTAAATGACAGCTGCTATTACTCCTACCAGTGGTAAATTCCCGGTGCTTTAGCAGCAAAAGTGTAGTAAACCCTGTCTCTCCACCTTTCCACCTCACTCCTCTCCCACCATCATTCACAGCCGTGCTTCGCTCCTCCAAACCCAAAAAATTTCTCCTGCTTTTGTTTCCTGCACACCGGCTAGATCTCGCCAAGAACTCGGTAATCCCAAGCCCTGGGTGAGTGAGATCCAGCTTCGCAAGAAGGTGATAAGAGTGATTCTGCTCTTGCTACGCTTGTCAGTTAAAGGCCCCTTTTTTTTGGGTTTTTGGGTGGTTTCTGCTTGATGCGGAGATGGGAAAGGAGGGATTTTTAGGGCCTCTCTCCTGTGATTCTTGCCTGCGTTGGTGTGATTATGGGTGTTGTGTGTTTGTGTTCTTGCGAGGATTTGTGATTTGGGAGTGTTGCTAATATTGTGGAGTTGGGGGTTTTTTGGTGAGGCAAGAAGGGGGAAGGAACAGTTTTTTGTTCTGTTCTTGAAATTATTTTCTATCTTTTTCTTCGGTTAGTGTTTCTTTCAAGTAGTTTTAGCCCTTTGCTTGCGCGGAAGCACGGGAATTTACTGATTTTTCAGTGAATGCTTGGAATCTTTAAGTGGTTTTGAGAGGTTTCTTGCTATAAAATACATGTGAACAGGAAAAATGTGAGATGTTAGGTTTGCTTTTTGTTCAGATTGGATAGCTCGAACTAGTTCGGTTGGTGGTAATTGGTGAGGTTTTAGGGGTTTAAGGGGGTTGCTTTCTCATGTGCAAAGGGGAATGTGGGATAATCATCTGAAACACGCAGGCAGCGTGCATACCTTAAAATGCAAGTTACACATGTTTTATAAACCAGCAAGAAACAAAAGCAAAGTTGTTTGTTATATGTGCTACATAGTGTAAGCTATAGGCTCAAGATTTCGTCTTACTGTGGCTTAATCTGTGGGCTGAAGATCTGCAACTCTTCTTGCAGAGTTTTCTGTGCAATGATCAAACCCTAGATTAATCCTTTGCTTTGTCTGCTAGAACATTAGTCAATGGTCAATGACAGTTTTAGGCATACATTTTCTTCCTTTTCACCTAAGGAATAAGGTCTGCTCTCGAAAACAAAGGAGTTGCATCTTATTCATCTGAGTCACCACAACTTCTGTAAAAGAACCTTGTTCCATTATCGAGCATATGCCCATAACTTTCATAGAAAGAAACACGAGAATTATAGACAAATGCTGAGTTGACATCATTTTTAGGATTAAAGCTGTTTCATAATCTATACATTTCCCTTATCATTCGGTCCATATTGTTAACCAGAATATGAAAAATGCTGATTGAAATCATTAAGCTGCAATTCTCATTCCCCATGTTTTTCAGGTTTTGGGGGTTCTTGGGCAGTTCTGCCAGGAGAGTGACACTGGATGATTGCATAAATGAAGCTTGCTGAATGTAGATTGTGAAGTTCTCCTTTCCTGCGTACGGCCATATACACTTTTATCATGGCACCGCGCAACAGGTCTTCAGCTAGAAGGCCTCTCTGGATTGTCATCTTGATTGCTTTTGTCTGTGCAGTAGGCATTGGAGCCTATCTTTATACACCCCAGCATTACACACCTTGTTACTTGGTGTCATCAAATTCCTGTAGTTCTCGGCCTCCTCCAGAACCTGCTAGGGTTTACACTGATGATGAGATTGCTGCTCGTATTGTCATAAGAGATATCATTTTGGCACAGCCAGTTCAGTCAAAGAATCCAAAAATTGCTTTCATGTTCTTGACACCCAGTTCATTGCCATTCGAGAAGCTTTGGGAAAAGTTCTTCATGGTATGATATTTACGCTATTGTAATAAAGATCTTAATTGCACTTTTTACTCATTGATGATTAATCTTGCATTATGTAATAATTATAAGTAGCACTAATTTCTTCTTATCAGGAATGCATGTTATTGATTTTTGTTCACGTTTTATTTTCTGGAAGAGCTTCATGCCAATCTCATGAAAGTTATAAGATATGCTCACTTGCTGAGGTGCACGTGGATGGTACTGAATCCAGATACTTGGGTGTACTTTCAGGGGCATGAAGACAGATATACCATATATGTACATGCATCAAGAGAAAGGCCTGTTCACGCTAGTCCGATATTTAATGGCAGAGATATTCGAAGTGAAAAGGTAATTTGCTAGATTTGATTTAGAGGTGACCTCATTTTTGCAACAATACGTTTTCTCACTTTCTCTAGTACATTTTGCCCCCCAAAATAGTTGGTGTCTTGCCTAATCGCTGATAGGTACAGAATCATAGTCAGATCCTTGGTTAAACATTCCTTTTGAATATTTTTCCTAGACAACGGCAGTGATTTCTGTTCTAGTTTGAAACCAAATTTAATTGTAACTTCCATTTAGATTCTACAAAAATCTTCATAAAACAACATATAATAGCAAGTAGGTTTTAAACAGTACCAAAAGAGCGTATGCCCTAAGGAGCACTAAGCTCCCGTTATCCACTGGAAAAACTGGTTCCCAACAATAACAACAGAAACTTTTCTTGTAGGTAGTCTGGGGCACAATTTCAATGATTGATGCAGAGAGGAGGCTTTTGGCTAATGCACTGCAAGATCCTGATAACCAGCATTTTGTCTTGCTCTCTGAGAGGTTAATCATTTTCTTTTGTTCTTATCCTTAATCATATCTTAGATCCATACCCTAATACTTTGTTCTCATTACAGCTGTGTACCACTTCATAACTTTGATTATGTATATAGCTATCTTATGGAAACAAATATCAGCTTTGTTGACTGGTAAGTGGACGCCTTTAAACCCTGAATGTTATTACATGTGTAGACACACTTAAAGTTGAACAGATGTTTGATTCAGGATCTCCAGTGCCCCTTTCATTCATGATTGCTAACAGACATTATAGTTTCTCCACTGACACGCCAACTGCTTTTTCTTCAGTTTTGACGATCCTGGTCCACATGGAGCAGGCAGATATTCTGATCATATGCTACCTGAAATTGTTAAGAGAGATTGGAGAAAAGGTGCACAGGTATACTTTAATATGCATAATTTTTCTAGAAAGTATTGCAAACTGTTGCTTTGCCTTTTCATTTTCTTCCCTTTTACAAATGTTTAGAGCGGGTGCTGTGGAACTTCAATAATCCTGGGTATTATACTCTAAAGAATTGCTATATTGTCATACAGTCTAACCTCACACATTCTGATATGTTTTCCTCTTGCAGTGGTTCACAGTGAAACGTCAGCATGCAGTTCTTATTCTTTCCGATTTCCTTTACTATGCAAAGTTCAAGCGGTACTGTAAGGTAAAATTGCATTCAAATGGGTAAAGTGAATTTAAAAGGTGTATTGGTAGAAGTGTAAGCCATTAGATAATATTATTACAGACAGCATCGTATTGGTTTAGTACTAGCACAGTGAATGCATTATGGAAATCTCCATGCTATTTCATTGCAGTTGTAACTTGTACTAGGCTACTTGCTCTGTCCTTGTGATTTTTCCTCAGTGAATGCACATAGAAAGCCCCACTTTGTATTTTCTGCACACCATGCAGCATTATATGGTCTAGCACTGGTAAACCATAACGAGTGCAAATCCCCTTACTGCATTTGTTACACAGTAGTTTTGAGTTTTGACTTGTACTACTATTGTTTTTAATCAATTCCGATGACCAATGAAATGCTTTGGTTCATTTCTCTACATCTTTATGACCACTGAATTGCTGTTGTTTCCTGAATTTTAGCTCTTTACTGATCTTGTGATTGCACTTTTGCAGCCGGGAAACGAATGGCATAACTGCTATTCTGATGAACACTATTTGCCAACCCTCTTTAATGTAAGAACTCTCAAAAACTCTTAAATGATGTTTTTCAGTTGTGTTTACTTCCCAGTGATTTCAGGCCGTTATTGTACCTGCAGATGGTTGATCCAACTGGAATTGCAAATTGGTCAGTGACACATGTTGATTGGTCTGAAGGAAAATGGCATCCTAAAGCTTACAGGGCTGTTGACACAAGCTTTGAACTGCTTAAGAATATTTCGGTGAGCTCTGGTATACTTGTACATGCAAAAGAAGGGGAAACATACATGTTTTATTTCCTTAATGGCCAATTTTCGCAAAAATCTGCATTCTTGGGATTTGTCTAATTAATAATGAAATTTTTGCAGTCCATTGATGAGAGTATTCATGTTACAAGCAATGCAAAGGTAGAGTTATTTGATCTTTTCCTCTTCTTGCTTTCTAGTACTAGAATCTTCAAGTTAGTTCTGTGAGACTGAACAAGTTCTCCCCTTCTTTACTGCATGCATATTTGACATGTTCCTACCTAGATTTAACTTGAAATTCTAATGTGACTGACTGGCTGAACAAATTTCTTGAATCAACACTGTTTCTACAAATCGATTTAATTTTTTTTCACATTTTCACAATTCTTTTGAGGAGGATTTTGATAAATTGTTTGGTCTTGCAGCACCAAGTGATGAGAAGACCGTGCCTATGGAATGGCATGAAGAGGCCTTGCTACCTATTTGCACGGAAATTCTATCCCGAGGCACTCGACAATCTGATGAACATTTTCTCAAACTTCACTATCATCTAAGGGAAGGATGAATCAAAAACCTAGTTTGCATGTAACACTACAGTATAGGCCTTGGAAAATCAGAAACCCAGAGAGACTCGCTGAATTGTTTTTTGTGATCTCTCTTGGAACATCAAATGATTTTCCTTTTTCGCGAAGATGTTGCATGGTTTGCAGTTGAAAGAGCAGTCAAATTTGTTCCTCACTGCGCTGTTCTGAGCAAATGATGTGTTGTTCATAATGAACTTCGTAGTCATCCATCTGCATATTCATGGGTGCAGCTACCTGATCAGTTTGCCTGTAACGCTGCAGTGTTGGCAATGTTGTAGTGTTTCATTGCTGAGGAAGATGAAAAATCCAGAGAGATTTGCCAATTTTTTCTTGAAAGCTCTCTTGGAACATCAAATGGTTTTCTATTGCGAACTGTAATGATGATGTTTGAGCACAATGATTTTGATCAACAACTTCCCTATATGAAGAATATTCAGTTTGAAGAGTAAAATTGTTTTTGTTCAGCAGGAAATCGATCGTATCTTCCTTATTAGGTAGGCATCATAATGTGAAATAGAGTAAATTGCACTTTACACTAGATAAAGTGTAGCTTGTTTAACGTATACTTTCACTTTACACCAACACCAGGTTATATCAAAACAAGTTTTTAGTTTGCATTAGGTTGTATCATATAATTAAAGAGAGATCTTGTAAAACATGAGTAAAATGTACGAAATCTTCTTGAATTTAGACTGTTTTACAACGTTTCTTCCAGATATTATGAATTTTTTTTATAGGGTTCTTGATGTATCCTGATGTTAAGTGGAACTTATTTTAAGATAACTTGTCTTGGTGTAAAGTGAAAATATATGCTAAATTTGGTGAAAGAAAAAGAAACATACTATGTTTTACCTGGTGTAAAGTGCAAAATACTCTATGAATTTTTACCGTTTTCTTTTGGAGCAAAACTTTATGAATTTTACTAAGCAATAAGCACCAAACAAAAAGAAAGATGCACTTGGAGAACGATTTTGCTATATCTCACTCGAAAGATTTTTTCTTATCTCTCACTCGATTTTCTTACTCAAATTTACAGTGCATTTTCTGGTAAGTTACAGTGTAATTTATGAAACTTACACTGTAACTTTTGTAAGTTACACTGTAATTTTTGAATCTTCGCATGTAAATTTTAAATTTTGTATTGGATTTGGTCTTTTTATTGAGGATATGGTAATTTAGTGTCCATTATGGTGTTTCTTAATTGCTTTTTGCTTTTTATTATATCTATCGGATTTTAATCTAAAGATTAAAAATCTGTGTGATACGATTATAAAAATCTTTCGAAAGATGTATAGGTACTCCCCTTGGAGAAACACATAAGCCTAATGAATTTAGATCTAGTCTAATTTGGACCCATCTATAGCCCATGCGTGGGAAGAACCAGGCCCATAGTTGATGATTTTTCTTTTATTTTCTAGCAGATCTGAAGGATTTATCTTTTATTTTCTAGCAGATCTGGAGGATTTATCTTTTTTACTTTCTAGAAGACCTGAAGGATTTATCTTTTATTTTCTAGCATATCTGGAGGATTTTTCTTTTATTTCCTAGCAGATATGGAGGATACACTATAAATGGCACCACTATAACAGAACATTGATATCCATGCCTAAATGCATTATCACTTAGTACCAATAAAATAATAAAAATATGAATTAATTAATGTGCTAGCTAGCCTATCCAAACCTCTCTCTATATATACACACACTATATATAACAAATACCATTTCACAATCACAGTGACTACATACATACATATACCATTGCAGTCATGGCGCTCATGAAGAACAATAGCATGATGGTTCTGTGCTTGGCAGTTCTTGTGCTTATGTCTGCCACTTCCATATCTTGCCATGCACCACCAGCAAGGAATAGTGATGGTACACCTTATTTCCCTTATCCCCTCTCAATCGATGTGTTCTTTTACAAAGATAGTATATAACTTCTACTCTTTCTTAGACTCTGTACCAACTTAAAAAATACTTGTAACCCGAAAATAATATAAATTGAAATTGGTGGATGAAATTATGCACCCGTAACTCTATCATCACACACGTGTGTCTTTGCAGTGTTGTTAATCTGCATATGTCTACTATTATAAAAATTAAAGATGTTTTTACCAGTATTTTGGTATATCATCCATGTTTGAGTCGGTTTTTAAGTTTATTCGTTTATAGAAATACAAATCCGTATTTGAGTTAAATTTTAAGTTCGTTTGCTTTTGGAAATACAAAATGAGTTGTATAAGCAATCTCTTAAAAAAAACTCGCATGCTAACTTGAGATAAAAGTCGGACTCCTAACTACATCTCATGATTTTCTAAAATAAAATATCCAAGCGAACTTCCATGGTGAATTTCACCCTAGCTAAACCGTATAACAATTACAAGATTAGCTAAACCGTATAACAATTACAAGATTAAAATAATCTTCACCCGTTGCAACGTACGTGTATTTTTTTCTAGTGCATAGAAAATATTTGTATGTCTTAATAACATTTTTGTGTTTCTCTTAAATAAAATCTTTACGAGACTAATGTGCTTCATTATGTGCAGGAACTATTTGCATCTATTATCCAGCTTGCACGATCGAGGGATGCGTGATAATGTGTGGAAAAGTTGTTGGCGCGAATACAGGCCATTGCGACAATTATGGAAATTGTTGTTGCCCGAATTTGACAAAATGATGGATACAACAAATCCAAAATAATGTGAAAGTTGTCTCATGCAGTGGTGAAAAAAAAACTAATATGTATCCCCTCATGGTCTAAATCAAGTTATTATTTGATCTTGGTCATGCACCATGTGCAAATGATGAAGTTATTTTGATGTTTTTTCTTTCCCGAATTTGTAAAATAGGATAATTGAAAATAAATCAGTTTACCCCTTGCAGCGTTGATGTTCTAGGCGTCGTAGAACATTTTCAATTACCTTATTTTGTGATGGTTGATAGACCATTCAATTTTTTCAGGGGATGATGGATGAAGAGTTCAATTGTGATATCTATTCACCTTTGGTCAAAGTAAAACTTTTATCTACTCATAGTCATATGAATAAATAGGGCCCCTAATTTTCCTAGTTTTTAAGAGCAGGTTCAATCGCTACTTCTCACTTCCTTATCAAGGGCCATGGAAACTATATGGTATGCATGTACAAGTAGCTAGACATAGTATGTATTTTCATTTTTGAGAGAATGTCTCGTCGTATTTTTATATCACTTAAATAGTAATATTTTAATAAAATGAAAAAAAATATGTTATATACCACCCTACAAAATGCAAGTTAGAATTCGATTTCTACGAGTTGTAAAAAACAAACTAAATAGTAAAACGTACTTTTACGGTCATATTTGTTTTTCTTCTAGAACTTATAAAAGTTAAATTTGATCATGATCGAATATTCGTGGAATGATACATCACATATTAATCTATGTTATTAATTGTTTTAGACTTTTTCCATAACTGTTTAGAAGATTGATCTCTTAACAATATTACACTTTCTGATCTATTGCGAAGATGTTGCATGCTTTGCAGTTGAAAGAGCAGTCAGATTTGTTCCTCACTGCGCTGTTCTGAGCAAACGATGTGTTGTTCATAATGAACTTAGTAGTCATCCATCTGCATATTCATGGGTGCAGCTACCTGATCAGTTTGCCTGTAACGCTGCAGTGTTGGCAATGTTGTAGTGTTTCATTGCTGAGGAAGATGAAAAAACCAGAGAGATTTGCCAAATTATTCTTGTATAAGCTCTCTTGGAACGTCAAATGGTTTTCTTTTGCGAACTGTAATGATGATGTTTGAGCAAAAATGATTTTGATCAACAACTTCCCTATATGAAGAATATTCAGTTTGAAGAGTAAAAATTGTTTTTGTTCAGCAGGAAATCGATCTTATCTTCCTTATTAGGTAGGCATCATAATATGAAATAGAGTAAATTGCACTTTAGACTAGATAGAGTGTAGCTTGTTTAACGTATGCTTTCACTTTACACCAGGTTATATCAAAACAAGTTTTACTTTGCATTAGGTTGCATCATATAATTAAAGATAAATCTTGTAAAATATGAGTAAAATGTACGAAAACTTCTTGAATTTAGACTATGTTTCACAACGCTTCTTCCAGATATTATGAAATTTTTATAGGGTTCTTGATGTACCCTGATGTTAACTGGAACTTATTTTAAGATAACTTGGTGTAAAGTGAAAATATATGCTAAATTTGGTGAAAGAAAAAGAAACATACTACTACCCGGTGTAAAGTGCAATATACAGTGAATTTTTACTGTTTTCTTTTGGAGCTAAACTTTATGAATTTTACTAAGCAATAAGCACCCAACAGAAATAAGGCAAATTTTGCTACAGGACACTTCTTATGTGTGGTTTTAGCCCTAGGACACTGCCCAAACTCACTTTTTGGGGAAAACACTCCATAAACGTGATAATTTACCAGTGGACACCGCGCCGATTAAAATAATAATTTCCAGTTAGGGAGGAGAGAGAAATCGCGTGAAATGTCAAAAATGCCCTTGGGCCCATATCATCGACACGGAGGGAAAAAGAAAAATGGAGAGAGAGAGTTAGTGTGTGTTTGCTGAGTCACTAGACCTGGAGATGGATGAAATAGGGTGGTCTAAATTGAAATGTAAAGTTAGTTGTTCTATAAATGAAAAGAATGGTTAAAGGATAACATAATATGAAAACTTTTAAGAATACATAGTACGAACTGTAATTTACTTTTTTTTCTTTAGCACAATTAAAGATGAGTTGTCTATTATTACCCGATACTCCTGTGATATACTAAGTCTTTAGCATAATTAAAGATAAGTTGTCCATTACCTGATAGTCTTGTGATATATTAAGTATTGTGGGGTCAGTGTACTTGGCTTTTACTAATAGTCTCATGATATGTTGATGCATGAAGATGCAGACTTCTACTAACACGGACTGATTAATTATGGTTAGATAGATTCAGCTAAAAAAAGATAAAATTAATGCCATCAATTTTGCTCAACAATAAAGCATTCGATTGTGGTCTCCTTCTCTCACTGCATGATATACGATTGTAGGTATTTCCGTAATTCTTACATGTTATTTTTTCTAAATATACGTTAATTTGGACTAATATTTTTTCTCATAATTAAATAGATAATAAATCATTTTTCATATTTCTCCTATAAAATGTGAAGAGGGCCATTTTATAATTTGAAAATTATATTATAAGTGTATGTAATTTAATGTGTAAGATATGAGCTTATAGTATAAGATTTAAATTTTTATAAAAATGTCGCACGATAGTAGATAGGTAATGAACTAAACAACCATAAAATATATAGAGAATCCATCGTGTGTTATTGATTTTGTCCTTATTCAACAATATGTCACTAGGTTTGTCAAGTTCTAATATGCCATCGCACTTTGCT